TCTGAGCACGGTCCTTCAATATAAGCCTTGTTTCACCAAAAAGGCAGGAATCTTTGAGAAATCATAGCTGACAAATGAGAATCTATTAAATAAATTTATTTAATATTTATATAACACTGTCATATGAATAGTGAGAACTAACCAGTTAGGAAAAACCATTACTGGAAGATGGTTATTTACGTCCAAAAAACTTTATCTTTTTCCACTGTGCTTCAATTTGAGCTGTGTGAGATAGGAGCATGTTTGAATATACAGGATCATAGGAAAAATGTGCCATTATAACACTGTAACACCACAGAAAGCACAGCAATTACAGCAGAGTAGCAAAGTCCTAGGTTGCAGCAGGAGAAAATTGCAGCAAGAGAAAACTTGCTCAAATGCAACAGACTCAGCACAGAAGAGGGGAAAACAAACAAACAAACAAACAAACAAACAAACAAACAAACAAACAAACAAACAAACAAACAAACAAACAAACTGCTTACCTTCAGAAGGCCTTAGGTAGGCAAGGAACTCCAGCAAGGTATCCTTACCTCCCCTGCCAACCCTTAAATGAGATCTGGGAAGGGGTGGGTCCTTTCTCCACCCCTTCTATCTTCTATCAGAAAGGTGCACATATATGCACCTGAGCTCCCCTGGGTTGGCCCTGTCTTCCCACCAGGTGCTCAATCACTGGTTCAGACCATGACTTAGCATTTCTGCTACACTCATTTTCCAGTCCTAATTATTGTCATCAGAGTAACCAATGTAAATGTCCAAGTGTTTCTTCCCTCTTCTCATACCAGTCTTTGCATCCTTCTGAGTGTTTTCCCTGATAGAATTCTACTTGAACAAGATTAAGATTTCTGTGTGAAAAAATTTCTCCTTTTTTTTTTAATGGGAGACACTTTACACACATGAAGCATTATAATGAGGAATATATTGATACAAATCTTCAATGGAAAAAAAATGGTTTTTTCTCCTCTGTGATGTCAATAGTTTAGCATGAAAATATCCTGAATCTCATTGTTTATAGTGAATTCAATTACTTTATATTATGAGATGATCTTAAATCTGAAACAGAGTGGCCCTCTATATAATTCTAGATCGTGTGACCCAATTAGCTTAATCTAATTACTGCCTCCTGAGTTATGATATTCCTTTAAGTTCTTTGGAAGAATGTCACAGCATCAACCTAGGTTAATCAAGCTCCCAAAATTAGAACTCCATTAGAACAAGCGCTTTGAAAAAAAAAAAAAGAAAGGAAAAATATCATCAACAACAACAAAAAACAGAGCACATCTTTGCCACAGTACTTTTCACAGTATGTCCTCAGCTTCATTTCATGTTTCAGCTGTCAGAGAAAAAATGTCAACTCTTAGAACAAGACACGTCAAAATTTCTTCAGAAATATTTCAGAACAGTATTTCAGAATTATGCAAAAACTCATCATCATCAAGTGAGTTGCAAGACATTAGAAATTTATCTCTTGAAATGAAAATATTCATCATCAACTAAGATTTTGGAAGCTCAAAACACTCAGGAGCATTTTGTAATACTGATAACAACTTGGCAACAAAATTGTTTCTAGTATTTCAGTTCTGAAGGTGGGTAAAATTCATGAGATAAGTCAAAGCTAACATTTCAATAGCTGGTAACAGGATGAATTGGAGATATAATTTACAACATCTAAAAAATTTAGTATGTTAAAAGAGGGAGTTCATGAAGAGCCAGCCACAAATTGTGTTCTCCAACTGATAAAGAATCCATCTTGAAGAGGTTCTCATTAGTTTCTTACAACACTTTAAAAAGTGTTTTGTTTTTTTTTTTTAAAGAAAGTCAACATGGTTTGTATCTTCTCTGTAAAAAGAAATCTATCTCAATCCTCTTATAGTATTTTCACATTGCAAAATAAGACAATAATGATAAAACAACAATTATTTATGGTTTCACTGGGTTGAAAAAGTTGACTAATTTACAAAGGAATTTATTCATTCTCGTGTACATTTCCATTTGGTGTTACTGCTTTCAGATTGTTGCCTTTTCACTGAATAGCTTTTCATGAAAATTTCGATTCCCTGAAAAGTTTCTGTTGGTTGGAATGTCTGCTTTCCCTCTCTATACACTGATAGAAATCCATAAACTGACATTTTCAGAAGTACTTTTAGCCTTTTGAGACAATATATTTAACTTTATGTTGCCTTGAGTTCAAGATTTTAAAATGTGATTATCACCTACAGTAAAATAACCTACTTCTTATGCCCTTCTTAAATGGTCCAAATCAAATTTAATAGAGTATGTTAATGCACAGATTTTTTTTAAAATTACACTAAGAAGTGAGTGGGTTCAGAAAGAGCACGTTAGTTTAAAAAGAAAGCAACTTCCTTCCTGAGTATCTCCTGCAACTTATAAAAAAGTGCCATTAAAATTGGCTTTACCTTAAAGTGTCTGATCTTAGTCCAATCTTCAATCGTTTTCAAGAATTACCACGATTAAAACAATACTGGAAAAGCTTTAGTTCCATTTTTTAAATAATCAGTAACCTGATGGTATTATGTATCAGAGGAGCATTTGTTTGATAAGGAAATGAAAACTAATGTAAACCCTCATGAAAAAATATAAAGTTAGCTGAAAACAATTAAATATTAGTGTTTGCTATGGGTAACTAATTGATTCTGTATACTTGCTAATAAACTATATATTCATCCTAGGTTTAAACCAGATTTAGTAGCAGGAACACTGAATAAAATCTGATGATAACGGAGTTGTGCATTATTTATTTTTTCAATGTTGGAAGCTAATAAGGTGCTTTGGGAGGACAGGAAATGCAGTGTATTATCCCTATGCAAGGGACTAGAACAGTACAGTACCATGAAAAGATGAAGAACAAACCCAATTTGTTCCTCTCAGCTGGACTGCTGAGGATGACCAATAAAAGCCTCTAAACTACTCCTTTTAATTGATTTCTCTTTTATTTGTATAGTCAAAAGACCCTTAGTGAGCAAAGACCAAACCACAGGAGCAGCCGCTTCTCAGAAAAAGAGATCTGTTGTTATTATTCCTAGCCAGCCTGCATTCTAGTAGAAGATGAGATGTAATACATATAATGCACATGGGAGAAGATCAAGAGGCAGTGAACTCAACATGTCTGTTGCTTAAGTAACATGTTATTTTTCACTACGCATGAAGAACAAGCAGAATGTTTGAGTCATGATGAGATAGCATGATGAATTACAACAGGGTTATTTTCCCCCCCTCTTTCCCCCCCTTTTTCCCCTTCCCCATGGGAGCTGCAGCCCGGGAAAACCAGGAAAATATCAAATATCACAGAAAAGTGAACAACTGAAAATGCTATCATTCTTCAGTGAAAGACAATAGATATCTAATAAGAGGAGGAAAGACTGTTGGGGGCCTTGTAGAGGAACACAGGTTTCTTACATTTGAAGTGATCTGACTTTTCAAAAAGTTCTCCGTAAAACAGGACAGTCCAATACTTTATTTACAAAAGAAAGGAATCATAGAATCATATAATGGCTTGGAAGGGACCTTAAAGAGCCATCTGGCTCTAAACCTCTGCCATCAAGTCTGTCCCCACCAGCTCAGGCTGACCTCATCCACCCTGGCCTTGAGGGCCACCATGGATGGGGCACCCACAGCTTTCTGGGCACAGTGCCTCTTCATTTTCACATAAAGAATCTCTTCCTAATATCTAATCTAAACCTATCCTCTTTTAGTTTAAAACTGTTAGGCCTTGTCTCATCACTACACTCCTTGATAAAGAGTTGATAATTGCCTAGCTAGTTTATCTGGACGTGAGAATAAAATAAGATACCATCTTAGCAACAGTACACAAAAAAGGTATCCATGGAATTTATAGGTATGTAAGGACCTATACTCATATCATAGAAGAATGTCAAATAATCTGTAGTCCGGACTGATGACTAATGAATGAGGAAGGAGTTTATAATGAGAAATTTGGATGGAAAAAAGAAAGACCTCTGATATAACAGCTGTAACATTGAGTTGTTGCTGCAGTGACAAGATGGGAGTGGAAGATTTGTGATTCACACTCCTAGAGGCAGTAGCTGAGATGAGCAATCGAGGAGATGATGAAATAAAATGTACAAAGGCAGAAAGATCCCAGACAGAGCCATGTGAGACCTCGCTGAACAGTAGAGAAGCAACTACTGTAACACATGCAGAAGGAGTGATCACAAAAGAATAGAGGAGGAAAAATTGAGAAAGCTGAAAGGAAAGAGTGAGGATAAAGGCATCGAAGGCTGAAGAAGAAATGGAGTTCATACATATATCTGGTATCTGCATGAAATCAGTCATCAATTCAGCAAGAGCAGTTTAAAAAACAACTACACAGCATGGATGCTGAAAAGAGAAATATCCTATGATGGAACAAGAATAGAGAAACTCTGTAATACAAACTTAGAAATTATACCTGTGATATACTCATGATACCTATTTTTCGAGATGTACTGGGGGGGGGGGGGGGGAAGGAAAGAGCTTAGCAGCATAAGTAGTTAAGGAAAATAAAAAAGAATGCAAGAGAAGTAAACATAAAGTGAAAAGTAAAATCAGCAGCTAATGTATGATCAAATGCCAAAAGAATAAAAAGAAATTAGATAAGAGCATTTATTTTACATGTCATAAGAGCAGCAGCAAAGGAAGAAACCATCAGGGATGGGAACAGGCGAATTATGATTTTCATTATTCTCCTGAAAGAAAAACATCAATGCAACTAACAGGGAGAATTTCTGCTAGAAATCTGGCAAGCCTGGAGCCTGCATTGACAGACATGAACCAAGTGAAATCAGTGCAATGACAGAATTTCCACAGAGATTTTTTACATCATGAGCTGGGAATTTCCAAAGCAAAAGCTGCCAATGGAGAAGTGAGGAGAAGCAAAAAGATGAAGAGGAGTTAAAATAAGAAAAGTCACAATCTCTGAAAAAACAGGAAAAGCAGAATCTTCCTAAGGAGCCATCAATAGTGGCAATGGTATTTGGTGCAAGGGAGGGCCTGGACAGGTATACCCTTCTTTGGGTAAGGAACTGGCTAGAGGGCTGTGCCCAATGGGTAGTGGTTAATGGAGTTAAGTCCAGCTGGTGACCCGTTACAAGAGGTGATCCCCAGGAGTTGGCCAACAGCATCCTGGCCTGCATTAGAAATAGTGTGGCCAGCAGGAGCAGGAAGGTGATCATCCTCTGTACTCAGCTCTGGTGAGGCCGCATCTCAAGTATTGTGTTCAGTTTTGGGCCCCTCACTACAAGAAAGACATTGAGGCCCTGGAGCGTGTCCAGAGAAGGGCAGCGAAACTGGTGAGGGGTCTGGAGCACAAGTCTTACAAAGGGCGGCTGAGGGAGCTGGGATTGTTCAGTCTGGAGAAGAGGAGGCTCAGGGGAGACCTCATTCCTCTCTACAACTTCCTAAAGGAAGGCTGTGATGAGGAGGGGTTTGGCCTCTTCTCCCAGGCAATGAACAGGACCCGAGGAAATGGCCACATGATGTACCAGAGGAGGTTTAGGTTAGACATGAGGAAGAACTTTTTCTCTCAGAGAGTGGTCAGGCACTGGAATGGCTGCACAGGGAGGTGGTGGAGTCGCTGTC